ACTTGTAAAATCACAAACCCCGGAGTGCGGAAAACAAAACCAAAATGGTTGAAATAACACACGGGCATTAAAACGATTTGGGAATCGACTTTGAACTGCCTTTAAAATTGTTCAATTGAAAAATGAAAGAGTTCAGTTTTGCTTTTAAACAGCAGGCACCTCGTTCCCCATCTGCTTTAGAGCCCACCCCCATTGACTCCTACCCCCCAGCTCAGGTGCCCAACCAGCGCTGTGAAGCACTTTGAGGGGCCCTTTCAATGTGAAAGGCTCTAACTAAGTATAAATTGTATTATTGTATAGCCCGGTGGTGTCCTTCAAGACCCCTCTCAAGACCCTCCTCTTCGACTGGGCCTTCAATCACCCTCCTATCCCTACTCTCCCCACCCTCCACCCCTTCTGATCCCAACCACCAGCTCGGGTGCAGAATCCCTGACTGTCCAGCGCCTTGGGATGTCCTCCTGACATGAAAGGCGCTATATGAAAGTAATTTGTTGTTGTTTTCCTGTCAGGAGAGAGTTGGCATGCCATTTCATTCAGCTGAATCTTTTCTTTCATTCCTGATAGTTACCCACTTGGGTTTGCTTTTCGTTCTCAAGGAGGGCAATTAAGATGCAGCTCCAAACAAGATAGACCTGCGTGAAGTGCTTTTGAAATGTTTTGACGTGATAAAGCAATGCATCAAATGTAAGGATTTCGATTAGTTTTACACTTAAAGACACCCCTGGGATAAAATGTAACGGGAAGCTCCCAGATGCATTCACCCCATCACAATTCAGGAAACTCAAATTAGTAAATGTACCATTTCTTTAGATATGATAAAACATAAGGAAAGCTAGATTGGCCACCAGTCTAGTCAACCATATGATTTGAATTACAATATAGTTGAACTTTTATTAACTCATTTGCCAAAAAATGTTATGCTTGGATTAGAGTTTTTCATAAAGTGCTTATAAAAATGATCGATGTGCAATATTTGTACCCCGAGATCTCCTGAATCATTCCGTAATGGAATCTCGGACCTCAGAAAACTCAATGACACACAGAACTGCGCCAACGTGCAATGGATTTAAGTATGAACCGGACGTAACAACGTGAGCTGAATTCTGACGACAGACAGAGGCATTGAATATTAAACGAATGATAAATAACTGGGTCATCTTTCGCTTTGGCCCAGGATTGTGTATTTAAACCTGGATTGGGAATTCTATCTAATGTTCAGGAACAGGAAGTGATTTGGTACATTGGAATTCGTTGCTTGAACCTGGTGTGCATTTCTGTACATTTTAACTGTAAATTCCATACAGGAAAGTAATCAGGCTGGTTTTCAAGCCTGAATACCAGTTAGCAACCTGCAGAGGTCTACTCCATTATATTGTTAGTGGTTGCACCAGCTCAGTGTTTGACACAGTCTCTCAGCCCCACTTACCTCCAGAATGCGACTGCTTGCTTAGGTTCAGGAATTTCCTGACCTCAAACCCTGGAGGCAATAATCCTCCCGTTAGTTAGTTGGATGTTAAATATCTGACAGAGAGCGAGGGGGAGGGAAGGCTTGAGTTTTAAAAAAAAATTAACCCAAAAGTAAACTAGATTTGAAGAAATATCTTCATTTTTTTTGCTTGCTCTTCATAATGCTCTGAAATTATAATAGAATTATAATTTTTGGGGGTTCAACCGGGTGTCTGACATATGCGGAACACCTATCTTCATCAAGTAATATAAAAATTTCCATTTTGTCCTCTCCCCTCCTTTATCAGGTTGATGACTCCCAAGCAATTTGGAGCAGCATCAACAAGTTGTGTTTATAGAGCGGTCTCCAATGCAGGAAACGTCAAAGATGAAATAATGAATCTAAAAAGAAAGTTGTGAGATATATGTAGCTATTCAGGACATTTAGTAATATTTTTTGCCCACAAAAATATATAGTCAATTCGCTTTACAGTGTATCCTGTGAAGCACTTTGATACGTCTCGAAGACGTGATAAGGCGCTGTATCAAATGCAAGGATTATTAATATAATTTCTGCTATTGCTAGTTGCAGTGGCATTCCAGACTCAGCCAAGGGGGAGCTGAGCACTGCCTCAACACTAACACTAACACATTCGGTTACGTCCTTATGATGGGATTTCCTATTATGACTCCTGATAGTAAGATCCTGAATAAAAGCAGTGAGAGGAGCGCTAGACCCCGGAATTCTTTCTAAAATAATAGGTCATTCACTTCATGGCTATTTATTGGACATTGTTTGCCTCACAAATCCACAACAACTTGTATTTATCAAGCCGGTCTTCACAGGATCACAATATCGGATTGGGTGAAGAAAGATCTTCAGTCCATCAATCTTATCCTTCCAGAACTCCTCCACGAGGAGACTGTAGGTTGGGATAAAAAGCATTGATTGACCTGCTTTGTAAATGAGTCCTTGTCCTGGCCTCTACCACCTTTCCTGACAAACTGTTCCTTTTTACCTTCTGAGTAAAAGCTATGGAAGGTAACGGATCATTGCACAGTGGTGGGATTGGGCGCAGATCACCTCGACGAGGCGATCAGTTGCTATATCAAATGCGAAGATTATTTTCCACGACTAACATCTGCAACAAAGAAAAACAGCTTTCAGATTAAGACTGAGTTTATGAATTTTCAACAGGTCCTTGTGATATGAAACTTCAAGACAAAAGGGAACTCCCGGCTAAAATTAGGAGGAATTTCAGGCCTCCACTACGATGTTTCGCCCACAAAATATACAGTCAATTCACTTTACAGTGAATTCTGTGAAACGCTTTGAGACGTCTTGAAGACATGATAAGGCGCTATATCATATGCAAAGATTATTATCTGCCAATAGCTCACAACGACCTCCAGGTTTGTGAAGTCCAACAGTCGGGCTATCTTTCCTGAGGAAGATGAAGGAAGAACGCATTGTGGCTACACTGAACCAATTAACAGATGGCCAGGCAGATAAGTTACAGCCGTGGCAAGACACCCTTATTAAGTTTGGGGTTTGAATGTCTACAAGTGCTGCTGGCCTGAAACCAACTCAAGACCACAAAAGCTTCTGGAATTCATCCCAAACAGCTGTTCTCTGGATGGGCAGCACATAGCGTTCCAGGATGCATTTGAAGTTACATTTAACATTCTACCCCGAGTTCCACCACATGAGTGCTAAGAACACCTCATTCCTTCTTGGAGAAAGGACCTACTTACTTCTGCCCCCCCCCCAACCCATAAATTTAGACAATAGACATACATCTTCCACGCTTAATGAAAAAAAATGCTGTGATGTATTCCTTTTCCATCCATGCAGAGCTACTTCGCTCTGATGTACAAGCCAAACCGATTTAGGGTTTCATAGGGTAGGAGCACATTGTTAGAGACGGAAGCCTATGTAAAAGTATGGATGGACAGGAGGACACACGTTCTTGTTTGAAGTTGTTTGAGATGCATATTTCCATTGAAGGGGTGTAGTGGATGATAGCCAAGATGGGGAGGGTAGGAGGTGTGGATTAGATGAGATTAACCTTGAAGAGAAAAGGGTCAGTGTGCACCTATGGAGATAGAGTGAAATGCATCATTAGATGCTGCAAAAAGCTCAAAGAAGAACAGCTGTTTTCACAAGGATTTGGATTGAACTGTTTGAAGTAAAGGATCCATGCACTGAAATTCTGGTCAGTTACACATAGAGGCATTGACGATAATAGTCCTTGTACTTGATGTCGCTCCTTATCACATCATCAAGATGTCTCAAAGAGCATCACAGGATATATCCTGTGCAAAGTAGTGTGACTATGTATTGTGTGGGCAAAACTCAGCAGCCATTTGGGTACATCAGGGTCTTACAAACAGCCATGGAGTGAATGAACAGTTTTATTTGGGGGATTTGTTGGGAGAAATTCCCTTATCTTTTCTTTTCACACTTCAACAACAACTTGCATTTATATAGCACCCCTCACTCGGGATAGGGTCATGGAGTACTTGACAGTGGCGGAGTCTGACCCAGAGCCAGGGGGAGAGGGAGGGGACCGTAAGCACAATGATGACCGCATCAAACAGTTCAGGGTCAGGAGCAGAGACCAAACAACTCTACTCTACCCTTGACCTTGACAACCACCTCAGACAATCTGCTCCATTACCGAATTGCCATTTCGCTCTGGTAGTTAGCATTAATTTTATAGTAATTCAACACGAACAATGGGGCCAGCAATATTTGTTGGAGATTTTCCCATTGTAAACATGTAAGGAAGTATTGGCTACTGCTATGGAACACTACATGATGACTCCAATCTCCCCCATCAGAATTTCTTCTGAAAATCAGTTGCAAGCAATTATATTTAACAGGATCTCTGTTCTACTTTAATTGTTTTGGTTAGTTTTGATTATGTGGCAGAACTGGGTTAAGATCCCAGGAAGCACAAAACGGTAAGAGGTGCAGATTCCGTGTAGCTGTGTGTGTTTTTACGCAGACATTTTTTTAAAAGTGTAAGCATAACTGAAACAAATCTTAAGCGTTTGCTTCAATATAATGACCGGTACCTTACACTCGAAAAGCAATACTGTAAAAAAAAAACTGCTGTTTTCCTTTGGGCCCAAAGCTTTCGAAGGGAGGCTATCATGTGTGTCAGCCTGGCTCACGTCTCTGAGTCAGAAGGTTGTGTGTTGAAGTCCACGGTAAGAAGTGGAGCTCGCACAGTCTAAGCTGACACTCCAGTGTAGTACTGGGAGGTGCACTGAATTGCTTTCCTTCGAGTGAGATGTTAAACCCGAGGTCCATCATCTGTGGCTGTTCAAGCGGACATAAACATCCCACACATTCTTTAAAACAAGAAGGGAATTTCTCTTTCCGAGCGTCCTGACCAACAATGTCCCCCAAAAAATTAGTCATTCATTTAATGGCTGCTTGCGGGATATTACTGTGCGTAAATTGGCTGCTGTGTTCGCCTGCATAATACAGTCATTCCAACTTTACAGTAAATCATTTGAAACGCTTTCATGCATCTTCCTGACGTGAGAGGGGGAGTGAGTCATATCATATGCGGGATTATTAACATCACAGTGTTTTAAAAAGTCTAAAAAGAACTGCGAGGAAGAGAGATAGCGTGAGAGTTAAAAGAAAAAAATCTCATTGGAGTTTGCTCATAGAAGAAAGTGCGTAAGATAATGTCTGTAGCGTTGTAAATAAAGTCAATTGCGTTCACTGTTCTAGCACAGTCCTTATTAATGGAGAATGTAAGTTGACTTTCTTTGGTCCTTTGAAGATCATGGTGGTCCTTTGAGCAAGTCTGGAGGACAATAAAAGACTATGACAATAGTCAAAGGCCATTGGAAGCAATGATATTATCAATGAAATATGTGAAGTCACTCATCAGATTTCCCCAGTCCCTGTGACACCACTGGGCTGACAATGATCCCAGACGGACAGAATTTCTCACCTTTACGGATCAATACAACAAGCCAATTTTGAGTATGTATCATGTGTTGCGTACATTTCACATCTGCATGCAATTTAAATCGTCTTTTTGTAACATGCTACCTCGGGATATTGTACATAAGGTTAATATGTATAATGGAGTTTGGGTTATTTTGTGATATATATACACTGCAGATTCAACCAAGAATAATGAGGTCGCTGAAGAACTTTCAGCATAATGTGAAATTGTATTGTTTAAGCTCGGAAGCTTTGTCAGGATGAGTTGTTGCCAATGCAAACCTGGGACCTCGGTCTAACATCTCATGTGAAGGACGGCCCACGGATTCTGCACTCTAACGATTTCCCCTGCTGTTAGCAGCAGTTACGTTTGGTGTTACGGTCTCATAATGGACTAGGACAGGCCATGATCAGTAAAGCTGCGAGCTCAGTGCATGCTCAGAAATCTCAAATCAGTGTTTGTTTCCACTTGAATCATTAACAAATAAACAGTCACCACACCTCTCTGGCAATCCTGTGAAGCACTTTGAGACACTGATATGGCGCTGTGTCAAATGCATGGATTAGTTACTTAATGTTACCGTGAAAGGCGCTACACAGATGTAATTTTGTTGTTGTTATGAAACCTGTCCTCTTTTAAACTTGCCCATTCAAGGGACCATTAGCTCTCATTAGACATGTCAGCATTACGCCCAAAACCCCTTAATTTCCTTTTTAAAATTATGTTGTAAGGCACTGACGATGGTGTAAGGCAGATGAGTCTTTTCCAGAGAAAACCGAATAGATCAAAGGAAGCCAAGTGGGGTCATTAATTGATCTGTATCCTCCATGATCACATTTAAGGAACAGTTCATTGGGTTTTACATTTTTTTTCCATCTCAGGTTTGTCTATTAGCCAGCTAATACATGTGGAAGCTAGTGAGCGGTTAGAACAGCCAGACTATACCCAACGCATTAAGGAATAATATTCATTTTGCTCTTTGGGAGTCTGCTTTTAATTACTTTCAGAAATTAGATCCATACAACATTCCCTTTTATATACATCAGTATTGTCACATAGGTCGTAATGCACCACTGTGTTTTCACTTATTATTTTAATGAAAGCCTCTTACTTGAAGGCTATAATTTCCTCCAAGATTTATTTTTCTGCAAGATCGCTACATGAAAGATATTTTTGAGTTGAGGCAGCTTAATAACATTTTGAAATAATAAAAGTAAAATACCTGAAATATACAGCAGGTGGATCTACATGTGAATAATAATGACTAACATTTCACCAGAAAGGAATCAATTGGGCTGGAGAAAATCCTTTATGGAATTGAAGAGCCCAGAGAGGACCAGGCCAAGAACACAAAGGTACGAACATTTTAAAATGATTCATAAAAATGCACAAGGAGACGATTATGCATTGTGGTATATGATATACAGTTATTTTCAGATGGGAATCAGATATCCCAGGAATCATTAAAGCAAGGACATAAGATCCAACTAGTATCCGTACTCTTAGAGGGAAGGTAGATGGGTTTCATCGGGGCTGAATTGGTTCCAAGGTGATATACCTGCCAATGGACTATCAGAATCAAGCACTGGGCTGTTTCACATCCTATGTCCCACCATCAGTGGTCAGTTGAGATTATGTCTCACCCTCTGGAACTCCATCCCAGAGCTCCCCGACTCACCCCTTCCCTCACCTCTTACAAGGTCCACTTCAAGACCTTTCTCAACACCCCTCCCACCCACCCTCCCCGCTTGCAACCTCACCCCTTAGCCCCTACCCCGAGCAGCACCTTGTGGCGTCCTCCTGACATGAAAGACACTATGTAAATATGAATTTGAATTGTTTTGTACTGTATGAATGAATTGACCCAGGACAGTTGGTAAACTACTTGCTTGCCAGCAGCAAGTATTTACTCTAAGTAAGTGCGGCCTTGTCCAAAATGATAGTCTTTTGAGTCGTTTGCTTCGGGATTCAGCATCAAATGGCCGAGCTCCAAGATGCACTAAGAGGGAAATCTGATCATGTGGAAGTTCCATGGGGAACAGTTTCATTGGTGTCGACATGAGGTGTATCTGTATACTGAGCTGTAGAGTGCTGACTTGGACCTTGTGAATCTGTGAAGTGCTTTACATTGCAAAGATCCCAAAGTTATCAAATACTTTGAGTTTGGACACAAGAAAAGCACGCACAAGAGTGTCTTGGGGGTCGTTTAAAATCCGTGCCGATCATCTGGTGTTTGCATACTGCTTCCCAGGCTATCATCTGAGTAAATATAAGGCCTAAAAACCTTTAATTTTAGTAGAACTTTCAAGGTGTAACTTGAGGCTTTGTCATTTTTTTGCTACGATTGCTTCAGAATATTATTGCATTCTACACCACAAAATGTTGCACACTCCCTTGGCCTGTGTTCCTCCAGTACTGTATTCAAAATGGGACCTTACAAAGTTTTACAAAGAATGGATATAGCACGGAATATCCACTCAACCCAACCAGTCCGTGCCAGTGTTTATATTCCGCAGAAGTCTGCACCCATTTCTGCACCCTCCCGTACCCTTCTATTCCCTGTCTCCCTCATGGGAAGGTCTAACTTCCTCTTGAATGTATCTACGCTATCTGATTCAACCATTGCTTCAGGCAGCGAGTTCCACAATCTCACTACCCCGAAAATAGTTCTCCTAAATTCTCTTTTAGATCTCCTAGTCGCTTTCTTATCTTTGTGTCTCCTGGTTACTGACTCCCCGACCCATGGTAACAGCCTATTTATGTTAACCTTATCAAAACCTTTTATAATTTTAAACAGAATGTGCTTAAACCTTACGTAAAAACATTTCTAGTGAATCTAATCAATGTAATTATCTGAGGACAGTTTTTCCATGGAATGATATTACCCAATATCACTTTTCCAATCTCCTGGAAGATATTCTCTGCTCCAGGAGTCTAGCCGGTGACAATAAGCAGCAGGTTATATGTCACTATCTCTACTTCGCTGAAGTATCTGACACCCAAAGGAAACAATTTACCTTCATTAGAATTATTGCTTCCATCCAACACATGGCAGAAAACTGCTCATTCTTTAAATTACTCACTTCTGCCTGTGGGAACAATGATTTTCAGCTCTTTTGCTGTCTGGAAATGTTTTCTGAATGGCTTATTGAATAGCCAGAAGCTTTCAGTGGTAATTTAGCCCTAAAGTACCTCATCTACTGTAACATCAGTTCCTTGGAGTTGCTGCCAAAGGAGAGAGAAATGTGTTGGTTGGTTGGATCTGGAGCAGAGTATTGTGTATGTGCATGACTGCCTTCACATGTCTTTTCCAGTCAGTGAGCCCCCAATCCCAATTGTCAGGTTAGTGTTGCAGATAATTCAGCTTGCATAGCCTTTCCCTTCAAGAGATCTGCAATGTAGTTTTCCAGCTGTATCTCTTGTTCCAGCCGGCCTCCTGTTCATCTCCCGCCACCTCCGCTCCATCATCGGTAGCCGTGCCTTCAGCCGCTACGCTCCGAAACTCTGCAACTCTCTACCTGAGTCCCTCCACCTTGCCCCCTCCCTCCCCATTTTTAAATCCCGCCTAAAGACCTTCGTTTTGGATCGTGCTTACGGTCACCTACTCCCTCCCTGGTTCGGGGTCAGACTCCGCCAATGTCAAGTGCTCCAGGACGCTACCCTACGTGAAGGACGCTATATAATTTATAATTGCAAGCTTGTTGTTGAGGGTTCTCCTGGTGATAGAGTGACCGATCCCCAGCAAATACAGGATGCTTTATTCTCTGTGATTTGCAGTAGATTGAGTTACAGGAGAGATGGTAAAGAGCTCAGCTCAATTTGGTGCTTGAGAAGCCAATGGCCAATAACAAATAGTAGAAAGTTCTCTATCAATTCCTGAAAACCACAGATATTTTCCCCTTTCCTCAATTCCTTTCATTTCTCTCCTCCTCACCATCTCGATTGACATGTCTGATCCCCCTGCATCTCGTCAGCTTACACCTTCTTTGAGGCGAAACAAAAGAATGCAATACTTGTAATATTCAGAAATTTCTTGCCTGTTTCTTATATTCAATCATTTCCTTGATTTCTCTCGGTTTCCACCTTGCACAGCCAGGAGTATCTCTGTCGTTTAAAGTTTTCTTTGAAGTTTTAACAACGTGAGGCCCCCAAATATCAAGTAGATGTACCGTTTATGATCATGTTAAGCTCCGATCGATAAGTAATACTTGAAAACTGAAATGTAAAGTTGAAGCAGAATGGTGTACTTTTTTGTTTAAATTCAGTGTTAATTTGGTTGAAATTTTCCACAGCACTTAGAAAGAAACCGCCTATGAATGTGGGTTCAAGCCACGCGCCAGGACTTCGAATCACACTGTCTCAGTTGACACTCCAGAGCCAGTGCTGGGGTTGTCCTGCATTGTCAGAGACTCCGTCCTTCGAATGAGATGTTAAATGAAGGTCCCGTCTGCCTGTTAAAGTGGACGTTAAAGATTCCACGGTTCTATTCAAAAAGAGGAGGTAATTTCTCCCATTTCCCCCAAATAAAATTGGTCACTTACTCCATGACTGTGTGTGGGACATTGCTGCGCGCAACTGGCTATTGCGTTTTTCTCACAAATGCCCGGTCACTTTACTTTACAGTAAATTCTGTGAAGCGCTTTCATATGTCTTGACAACCTGATAAGGCGTTGTATCAAAATCAAGGCTTATTATTAATATTCCCTTCCAAGTCTTTCAAATCAGTGTCTTTTTCGACCATGGCATCTCTGAGACTTGAACGTTCTCTAGACTGGTGTCTGAACACATCCCAACCCATCTACAGAGCAAACAGGAGCCAGCCTGGGCTTTGTTTCTCGTAAAAGGATGGAAGTCACCCCATGTTGAACTCCGAGCCGTTGAGTTACTGTGCAGAACAAATCAGATTCAGGGCAGATGCTGACTTCTGAATGTCTGCATTAGTCATTTGCAAATTGGTCATTAGTGAGTAATTTTTAGTTCATTTGACACTTGAACGTGTGTACGATGTGTACTGTATGAGATGAGGTGGGGGAAAATTCCTTATTGTGTGCAACAACTAGTTGAGCCGCAAATATTACCCCAGTATTTCTAATTTAGATCCGATGCCTCAAGTTGACTCAAACTTATCTCAAGCTTAACGCACCATCAGCAGCTGGTGAGAAAGCAGTGAGTCTGCACAGATGACTCAGTCATCGGTCATTCACTTCATCGCTGTTTGTGGGACATTGAAGTGTGCAAATTGGCTATGCTCTAGGGTTGAAGGGATTTCTAACTGGTTTTCTTATCATTAAGAAATAACGCAAATTACACCTCATTATCCATCTCTGCTTCCGATTTCAGATCCTCTGCGGTTGCTTATCAAGGACAACATAATAATTATGCTTTGATCACCAGGAACTTTAGTCTATGCGTATGTGTAAGAATACATGCACTTATTCTGAAATAAATAACGAGCTTGATAACAACCTCTTATGAAACTCTAAGATGCATTATTGGCTGTCGCATTTCGTCCACAATCCATTTTACAATGTATTCCGTCAAGCACTTTGAGACATCTCAACAATGTGATAAAGCGCAAAGTCAAATGCGAGGATTATTATTGTTATGATTATTATATGCACATTTCATGGTGATCTACTCACGCATATCTTTACCATCCTTCTGTTAATATTTAGAGCAAAGAAAATCTTTTGTCAAAAATTGCACCTTCACAAAATTGCTGCAGCCGCCAGGAGACTTTGACAGATATCTACACAATAAAGTAGGGAAACTAAAAGGTGCTGGCAACAGAACAAACTCCAAGGGCACTGGGTTAGAACATCTTGATCCTCATTTTGCTCATTTAAGCCATGTGAGAAAGATCGTCCATGTTGCCAACTTTCTCGTGAGGATCCGCTTGAAGAGATTTTGCTGTGAAAGACATTGTTTAAATTACATATAACATGTGGGTGGGATAATGAAATAACTTTGCACAGTAAGGATGGTATGCACTTGGGAAATGTCTTGGTGTTTGGATTGTATAGTTAAATTTAGTCCAACAAATTGGTTTCAGTTTAGTAAATTAAATGCATCCATTAGCATTTGTACTTAGACATTCCCCCTTCCCACACTATTCAGAATGGCCACATCCACAATAATAATTATTATAGTTATCCATTTGCATTTGATAACAGTGCTTTTCACGTCAGACGGATATCTCAAATCACTTCATAGGATTTACTGTAAAGTGTAATGACTGTGTATTTTGTAGGTGTCTAAAATGCAAGATTAAGGTTAGCCTCTAATCTTTAGAGTTAGGTTTGGGTCAGGGCTTGGGTTAGCTATCTAAATTATGTTAAAGGGTTCAGGGTGTAAGTCTGGAGATTTGTTAAGGTTAGCCCCTAGATGTGCGTTTGGGTTAAGATTAAGGTTAGTTTGGGTTGTGCCTGGACAGAAAACACCAGGACACAATAACACCACATTGCAGATTCCTGGAGAGTGAAGCCTAATCGTACATTAAGAAATGTTTGGCGTATTTTTATGTTTTCAAAAAGTTCCTGTGCAACAATGAATATAATTCCAAATAGGGATTGAAAAAAAATGTTGCTTTGAGCTTTGGGAACAGCCTGTTTAAAATATAATGTAAATACTTTAATCCCTCAAGGAAAAGGCAAAACAAGCAACTGAAGCCCCCAAATTTATTACGTTACAATATGTAGGATGGACATTTGCAATGCAACACTCATCACTTCAGCTCCAGTCTGACCTTTCCTCTGCAGACATCGAAAATATTGCTGTAAAGTATTGAGCTGCCTTGCGCAATACAAACTGATTCTGGCTTGTATTTAACCGAACTCGGCCTTGACTTTATTGAAGTGTTTCGGATGGACAAGACCATTTGGCTCATTTGATCTCATCCTGACAAAATACCCACCCTGGCACCCGCCCATTATAACATCAAGCTGTTTCCTGAATGAGTCCAGCGCCCTGGCATCAATTACCTTTCCTGGTAACCCGTTACAGCTGCCGATTAATCTCTGTGTCAGGAAATACTTCCTGGTGTCTGTCATGCAATTGCAACCTTGGACCTGCTGTCTTATCAAATCCAAGATGACTGATTTTCTGTTACTTTATGGACAGTTAGGCTATTTCCGGTACTTTGCTTCTATCCCACACTCTCATGGTCAATGGATTGAAGGGACAAGAAGCTGATTTATAATTGCAAGATTAATGTAACCCTACAGAAATATTCCTGTGCATTCCGGCCGCCTGAACAGAGTATTGCGCAAATGTCTTAATCCCTTCAACATACACATCCATTCATTAAACTGAACATAATACAGTGCGAAGTAAACAGTGGAATAAAACATCATTGCAGTTGAGAGTGAATTAATGTTTAACCCCAGTTGATTGTTTGACAAAGAAGAAAAAGAGACCTTTTGCAGTTTGTTTACCATCAATTAGTGACGGTCGGAAGGACAACAAAAAATATATTTTGTAATTAATCTATGAACGAGGTTAAGAACTCATTAAATCAACCAAACCCGTTTGCCAATGACTTTTTTGTTCATTGTTTACTCCATTAATTGAGAATTTATTTTTCAGAGTGTTTCAGAGCTTTAGCATTCAACCTTTTTTTAAGTGACAAGTTTGGCCATTATCACAGAGCTGTTTGCTTGACTATTTGGATTTTAAGCAATATGCCTTGGGTTGTCCTCCTGATGTGAAAGGTGCTATATAAATGCCAGATTTGTATTTTGTTGTGTATATATAGGAAAAGGGATCAATATAGAAAGTGGCAACCCTAACCATGATCCATTAACGTACAGTGCAATAATAATAATAATTATCGCATTTGATATAGCGCCTTATCACGTCTCAAAGCGCTTCACAGAATATGCAAATGTAAAGTGGATTGACTATTTGTGGGCAAAACACGGCAGCCAATTGCGAACAGCAGTGTCCCACAAACACTCTTGGGTTGGGTGAACAAATTTTTAATTTTATTTGAGGGTTCATTGCCCTCGGAAAGCAATCCGCCAATCGTCTAACAACCGGGTTAGTCCAATGAAATGTTATTTCCTAACTGGAGGTACCAGTTTCCTTCAATGGAATAGCCACCAAGTTAATTTGGCTAGACTTTCACATGGGCATCGAGACACAATAAATTATTGCAAGTAAATATTTCTAGTTACGCCCAGTATAAGTTTAAACTGCTGATTGGAACGTATTTCACTGTGTTTCGTCCTGTCTCTTAGTCATAACAGCATGAATCGGGAATTGCACAAGGACACAAATAATGACTGGAAATTGTATGTTGTAACATACAAAGGATCTTAAAAAATTTAAAGTACCATTCAGTTTTTATACAGAATTAGATACACTTTGCCCTATTCTGTGAAATAGCATGTAGTCCACAGCAACGTAGATCATTTTCCAATATATCACATTACAGGGAAAAATGTCAATCTTAGCAAAGATTTAAATGGACTATCTGATGTGCTTTGTTCCAGCATTTTATTTGCCTGTCGCTTGGAAAAGAGTTGAAATGACAGAATTTGTGTAACTGGGCATAAAAAAAATCCCTCAAACTGTAAGCCTTGGGAGCTGTTGCAAAGCACAAAACAAATTGGTGAATGCTGCAGATGCCAAAGAGATTCGGGATTTTCTTTGTTAAGTGGAAATACTCCTGTATCAGGTATTGGATGATTGCATTCATTCCATTGACCTGTGATGGACCTCATTCAAGTGAGATTTCCTCCGCATGAACTCATGCAGCCTATCTGCCTATTTCACCGGTTCATTCCCTCCCGGATTCCAAACACTTGTTGCTTTTGGGAAAAGCCAGCTGCCAGTTCTAATCAGCTGAATGTTGCTCAGTTGACGCTAACATTTTCTCAGCGAACCAGCAAGATATCCCCTTTTAAAGCCTCACATTGTTATCAGTGTTGATTGGCAGCTCCACAGTCATAGCACAGCCAACGGCGCTGTTAGCGTTTAGCAGTGAAATCCTTAACAAATTGAAAAGAACAAAATGTTCTAAACCAAAGCAGAACATAATCAATTTTCTTCTGAGCCAACGACAGAGGACTGGCCATCACACTGAGAAGCAAATGGAAGGACCCCTTGATTCGTCTAATCGGATGTTATTGCAGTGAGCTAATCACACAGCTTCCAACTCTGTAATCTATTCATTTGTTGTTCGTTTCTGTCAAAACAGCTGCGATAGTCACATTAATCTGTCTTTTTCTGGTAAGATAATAAAAATCCTCACTCCTTATGGCTAACGCGTCATTGAACCATTGGACTCGAATCACTGACAAAAATCTGTTTGAACACAAGATAACTTCTGCTTATTTGTGCAAGATCT